ACATGCTCACGATCTAAGGAGCCCTCCCACATCCCAGACATGCGAGGCCAGGAAGTCAGCGTGAGCAAGAGGCTTTGGACAAATCTGATTCCATCAGGGAGAGGTTAAAATCAGGGGTCAGAGTGGTGTCAAAAGGCAATGACTGTCACTCCTCATTGTGGAACCTGTGAAGCCCGTCACATTATCAAGGGGAAGGGAGGTTGATGGTGGTCTTGAGACCTCCTCTCTCCCCCTCCTTCCCGGCTTTTTGCTGGACCACGGAGGGTCAATAAGCCTGACCCTCACTGCGGTCAGGATGCAGATGGACACGGGGGGCACTGGAGCCTAACAGCAGGGAAGGGAGTGTTTGGGTCAGAGACATGGAATGTTTTGACGTGAGACCGAATGAAATAAAAGCTTTTGTGCTGGCTTCATGGAACGTTTCTTCTGGTAGGGAGTGACTCTAGAACTTTCATGCCATGTGGAAGCAGACTCAGCACTAGGAGAGAAATCAGAACTAAGAAAATTGTTTACCGCCTTTGCCCTTGCCTTCCCATTTTTCGAATGGGAAACATTTGAGCAGCAAAATGACATCCACATGTTTTTGTGGACCAAGTGGCTGCAGGAGTTCAAGTTAGTGCCTGGGCCGTCGGGGGTGGGGGTAGGGGGGTGGGACCGGTTGTGTCTCAGAGTCTCCGTCTCTCTCCACCTTGGGAACCCACCAGACCAGGGCCGGCAGCTGTGTTATTTTTGACTCAACTCAGCTGCCTGTTTTCATGCCAGCAGTGTGAATGCACAGGCCCAGGCTGCTGACAGCTGCTTCCATATTTCAGAGGGAAAGGAGGAGCAGGAGCTGGGCTGGCCGGGACCTGGGCAGGCTCTGCGGGGACTTTCCTGTTACATAGACCTTGGGCCCAGCTGGGCAGAAATCCCTGCAGCCACGATGCCAGCCCACTGTGTTAGCGCCTGGAGCCGGGATCTGTGTTCCAGGTGTGGCCTCAAAGCTGCAGACAGGGCTTCCCTGGTGGCGCAGTGGTTGAGAGTCTGCCTGCCGATGCAGGGGACACGGGTTCGTGCCCCGGTCCGGGAAGATCCCACATGCCGCGGAGCAGCTAGGCCCGTGAGCCGTGGCCACTGAGCCTGCGCGTCCAGAGCCTGTGCTCCGCGGCGGGAGAGGCCACAACAGTGAGAAGCCCGCGTACCAATTAAGGTTTTCATATGTCAGGTTTGCTTAAAGCAAAAAAAAAAAAAGCTGCAGACAGGAGGCTGTTACTACAGGACCAGATATTCCAACGGGGTGACCGTCCCTTACTCTCCTATTCAGAAAAAAAAAAAAATGCACATTTTTAAAAGTATTAGGGATGAGCTTTTATTTTAGTGTTTTTACTTTAGACTCATCCCACTTTTCTTCCTCCTCCTTTTCAATTGTACATCTTTTTTTTTTTTTGGCAAAAGGTATGTATCAGGGCATTTTCTGTTTTAGCCAGAGACTGTGAGAGCTGAGGGCTCCAAACTCCACCCCAAGGTCATACTTCAGGGTTTTTTTTTAAGTTGATTGAAAAATGTCGTATTTTCGATTGGCCACGCGTGTTGTGAATAGCAAGGTCTTTTCAAGTAAATGCAGCGGCAAAGGAGGGATTCTCTTCTCAGGTGGGAATAACGGAGTCAGAGTGCAGTTGGGTGACTTCCCCCACATCATATAAAAGACTTAGAGCAGGGCCAGACAGCCTCCAGAGCTCACTGGTTAGCTTTGACACGATGTCACCGTATGGACAGTCGTTTATTTTCCTTGAGCATTTATAAATAAGGCAGGGTCGGGTTTATGAAATGAGCAGTCGAATGAGGTTGAGAAGTACGTTGCAATTAGAGGGGATAAACCTCAAGTTACATCATCGCTAATGTTAATGGGTCCTAACAAGTTGACTGGCTGGGCTCTTCAGCAAGTCTCCACCCCTGGGACCCTAATCCGCTCCCTCATCCGAAAAAGAGAGGCATCTCAATGGGTCGTCTCTAAGGGTCTCCTAATGTAAAGTTTCACATTCCCCAAATAAAATGGGCTGAACGTTCTCTACCCACTCATGCTAGGCGCTTTATCTTCTCCCATTTGCCTTTTCAGTGGCTTATTAGTTCAGGATGGAGGGAGCGGGTGTTGGGAGAATAACCCATACTGACCCTCCCTTACAGCCGGGCAGTGTGATGCAGGGCTCTGGGAATGGGAGAGAGCACCTCTGTTTCTGTGTGACATAACATTAGGTCTTTAATTGAATCATGTGTCCTCACAGGTGAATTAGGGACAGGATTCCTTTCTTTAAATATATGTGTTGGCTGAGCTGAATGCTATGGACAGAATGTTTGTGTCCCCCGGAATTCATATGCTGAAAGCCCAAATTAAACTCCCAAGGTGTTGGCATTAGGAGGTGGGGCCATTGGGAGGTAATTCGGTCATGAGGGTGGAGTCCTTGTGATGGGATTAGTGCCCTTATAAGAGACCTGGGAGAGATGATTTTTCTATTCTCCACCCTGTGAACATGAGAAGAATGCCTTCTAAAATCAGGAAGTGGGCTCTCATTAGACACCAAGTCATCTGGCACCTTGATCTTGAATTTCCCAGCCTCCAGAACTGTGAGAAATCAATGTTTGTTGTGTAAGCCACAGAGTCTGTGGTATTCTTGATATGGTAGCCTGAGCTGACTAAGACGCTGAATCATTCAAGATACGAATTCCTTTTCTTTTCTTCAAGTTACCCAGAATGTATACAAACAATGTTGTTATTTAATCTGGACTTTTGGAACCATTCACACATGTTCCAACTAAAATAAACAGCAAATGAAAGAACACAGCTAAGAAAATACTTAGAACTGTGACTTTAAATATTTATCTTAGTCAGTTTAAAATAATAAGTAGGGCACAAGATAGTTCACCTTCAACAGACATTTTCCTTCAACAAAAATTTGTAAGAGAATGACATCTAAAAACAAACAATACACTGGTATATTTGTTTTGAGGGAAAACGGCTAGAGAGAATAAAACTTGTTGATTCTAACTGCACTGCTTGTTTGTAGGAATTTCTGAATTCCACAGAAATATATGTAAATGGAGAAAGTGAGTAATATTGGAAGAATCATGTTAAAACAACACATTACTGGGAACCTGCTGTATGGCTCAGGGAACTCTACTCTGTGCTCTGTGGTGACCTAAATGGGAAGGAAATCCAAAAAAAAGAGGGGATATATGTATACGTATAGCTGATTCACTTTGCTGTATGGTAGAAACTAACACATTGTAAAGCACCTATACTCCAATAAAAATTAATTGAAAAAAAATAAAGTGACAGAGCCAGCAATAAAGCTAAAAAAATAAATAAATAAAACCCAACACATTACTGTGTGGAACAGCCAATGTACAGCATCCATTTCTGACCTTTCATAAAACTGTCAAATTTGTAGAGAACTGTCTTAAACCTCAGTCCCTTATTTTCTGGGGACTTGGGCATCCCAAAGCTTCTCTCACCTTCTGGGGTCACTTGTTTCCCCACACTGACCATCACCTTGCTCAGTACTTCCATTGGCACAGGGCATTTCTCTTGATTGTGATTCTGGCATCTCTCCCTCCAGTTCCTGTGGTCAGGCCAGATCTTGCTTAGATGTTAGATCCTGAATTAGAACCAAAGCAGATGTGGAGCAGGAGTGAGAGAGACATCACTGGGAGGCTGTGTTAAAGAGAAAACTAGCCAACTCCTCATCTCAAGGGCATGAAGTCCACCTCTTCAGGCTTTGGCTTCTTCGTCTCTAATAAAGGGACTGGACGAGGTAATGTGCTCAGATCCCATGGTCTTTATCTTCCGCCTGCACATGAAGATACGTCCTGAACGTCCTAAGTAATAAATGCAAAATGATTCAGTCAATGACTCCAGTCTATTCTGAGATCCAGTGTTCCAGGCTCGGGGATTCAGAGGAAAACAAAGTTCCTGCCTCCATGGAGTCCACAGTTTAGAGCAGGAGATATGCAAAGATTGGAACAGAGTGTGAGAAATCCTGCAAGAGAACTCTGCCGAAGGGAGGAAGGAGGTGGGAGAAACATTCCAAAGATGGAGAGTACTCAGCTGCAAGGAAAAAGTGCATATACAGAGGGACCCACGTGAAATATTTCTTCTGTAAGGTTAAGCAGCTGGGAACAGCTTAGGGACTGAAGCCATCGTCTTACTCCATTCAGTTTCAATCAGTTTTGATCTGTGCCCTGTAGATTCGGGGGTTACTGTGAACCCACAGTGGATGACACTCAGTGAGTCTGCAGGTTCCTGTCTCCCTGGACCCTTGCCTGGGTCTGTCTCCAGCCCCGCATCCATCACGCTTGTCCCCAGGTACGGAGAATGCATCGGGGAAGTCACAGAGTGCCACAATGGGTCCATTCAACCAGCAGGGCTCCTGCTGGCATTTAGCAAAACTTAAATCTGTTTTCCTTGAAGTGCATCGGCCTCCATGACTCCCACCTTCTGCTTCAGCTTTCTAGACCACCTCACTCCGCAGCTTTCCCCAGCAATTCGCCTCCTCTTGTGCTGAG